CTGCTTGGTTGTTGGTTGCTGCTGCTTGGTTGTTGGTTGCTGCTGCTGCTGCTGCTGCTTGGTTGTTGCTGCTACTGCTGCTGCTGCTGCTTGGTAGCTGCTGCTTGCTGCCGCTTCCGCTGTCACTGCTGGTTACGGTTATTGTTGTTGTGGCTGCTGCTGCTGCTGCTGTTGCTGGGGTGGTTGTGTGTTGCCATGTCTTGCTTGTGTTGGGGTTGTATTGGGGGGCGCTGTTGACACTCTCCTTTACCCTCGGCCATGACATGTTGCGCTTCCCGGCCAGGCTTTTGCTGCTAAAAGAGCCCCAGCGTTGTTTCTTTCCCTAGCTTTCGCCACCCCCCCTGGGCCACAAGTAGTGATGGCCTCCAACCTAATAGTGATGACCTACAACCCCATAGTGATGGCCTCCAACCTAATAGGGATGGCCTCCAACGTAGTAGTGATGGCCTCCAACCTAATAGGGATGGCCTCCAACCTAATAGGGATGTCCTCCAACAATGTCTTCAAAGTTGAATGACTGAAAGTGTGCAGATTGGCCTCAGGAGCGCTAAGGCGAACCGGCAAGACAGAGGCGCTGCTGAGCGAGTGATGGGCCTCAAGCAGAGCCTAAGCACGGGCAGCAGTGTGGAAGTTGCAGCTTTATTTCAGACTTGATGCCTTTTTGCAGGCCGAGCTGCTCTCAATGCCAGAGAGCCTGCAGCATTTGGGGTTTTGCTCTCTGGGCAATACCTTCTTTTTTGCGACGCCTAGCATGTTTGGATTCGAGGTCCTCAATCTTCCAGCCTGGTCAGGATCTTGAAGAGACCACCAGGCCAGGTTCGTTTTGTGGTTTCACAACGCTTGTGTTCACTGTCCTTGCTCTTTGCAGAAACAAGCTCCAAGAAGAAGGCCAAATGCTCAAGACAGCACATTGGACAGTTGAACAACTTGACATATATATATATATATTCATGCGTGTGTGTATTATATATATATAGATGTATACACATTGTATATATATACACATCATATCATTTATATTGTGTGCTGAACTTTCAGACTGCTGTAGACTAAGGAACACATCACGAGGCCTATATTTCCAAGATGCTCTTTGCTTTAATTCAGGTTTGACACTTGTCAACCTCGACTGTACTTGTTAGGATGTTGACTGGGCAGACTTGGATGGTGATTGCTACTTCCCTCCTGATGGTCAAAACCTCAGATCCCTCAAACAGTGATGGCAGGAATTGTTTCAAGAAGCTCATATCAACAGCAACTGCACTTTGACCGCAGGTTACAACTACGAGCAACACCTTAAGACTGTGAGTGGGACCAAAAAGGCCTGGGCCTAGAACTTAGTAGTAGTTTGTTACACCTCGTCAGTGCTTGGCTGCAGGCCAAAAGTGTTGTTGGCGCTGTTCTCGAAGCACCAGAACCTGTACGAGAGGAGGCGCATGATGTAGACCAGTATGGCACGCAGTATTCAATGGCTAGGTGTCCATCGCAACACTCCATTAATCTGGCTGCCACTGCCAGGATTTCTTCAAGCAGCTTCCAACAAATGATGATGAGCAGGAGGCAAGCAGGTGATGCTTGCATGATAACACATCAACCCGAGCAGCCCAACATTCATTCCGACACAAATCAAAACCAGGGCTGTGCAGTGGGAATGGTCCACAGTCCCAGCAGTCCACAGGCCTACCAAAAGAAAGATTAGAAAGCACGAGATCATCTCTGTGTTTGGATGTTTGTAAACTCTTGTGCCTACTCCGTTTAGAGCCTTGATGCGAGAAGAGCTTAGAGCAGCTGTTCATGAGTAGAGATCACAAGCAGCACAGGGTAGAGGGTGTAGAGAACCAAGAAAGTTGACACAAGTGTAGAGACACACACACACACGGACTATACACCAGAGCCAGGTCAACATTCTGGAGCTGTAAACTGTAAAGACAGACTACGCACTGTGGCTGTGATTGTGTGCTGGTGAGTAACTCCTCCCACCAGAAAGCAGAAGAGACACTGCCCCATCGAGGATTCGAAGATGGCACCAAAATTGCCAATCTTTAGCTTCTTTCTGTCCAGTCCAGGTCCTGCGAGCGCTTGACAATGATGAGGAATATGAAGAGCTGGAGGCCACAGCAGAACACCATTGCATAAAGACAGCTTTAACTTTAACATGCTTCAACGAAGGAGGATGCAATGTGTGTGACAGGAGGATGAGATTGATGAAGTACTTGATGGCGGCGTGCTGGAGTATGGTGCTAAGATGTGCAGTGCCCCTTGTCATGGTGTGTTGCCTTGCCGGGTGTTATTTTGTGCACTTTTTTTGGTCTTGGGCTTGTATGGGCGACACATTTTTTGGTTTTCCATGTGGTGCTATACAGGCCGGAGACGTTGCTTTGGGGTGCAGTTGACAACGACCGTCCAGTTGGGGACACAGGCAAAAGATTGCGAAGGCACATGTCAAACTGGTTAAACTGGTTAACGGTTAAAGCTTCTTTGCCGAGCGTATGTTTGTCGAGCAACGTTCTTAGCATGTCTTTGCTCAAAATCAAGTGTCTTTGAAGAGCCGGAGCTTCCTTTGGCCCTAATTTGCTTCTAACGGTTTTACTCCACTTGCTTTACAGGCAGAAGCCAAACCCCAAGAATGGGTTGACACTTTGTGCCTTTACCGACCTGAGGATATGGCCATTTTTGCAGAGCACAAGGTGCTTGTTGTTTTTGTCCGTGTGTTAAACGACCTTCAAAGCATGGTTTTTGGAGGGGATGCACGTTTCCGTTTTTTTGTCACTCTAGATCGTGCGAAGATCTTGTTTGCAGAGGCACTATTGGCAGCTCGAGCTGTGGAGGAGGAGGACGTACAATCATTTTGCAAGTCACACGCTGCAGTTGTCAGTCATGTGAAGAAACATTAGTCGGGTCATAAGCTTGCTTCAAAATTTACTGCATGGTTTTTGTATGTGGTGTCTTACATTTTTCGATGTCAATCCTGATACGCATGCATTCCAAATGAGAGATACAGAGATAGAGAGATACCCGAGTGATAGCCCGAAGAAGCAAAGCCATCGATGTGGACCCGTGTTTTCAAGAGCGCGAACTTGTGTCGGGAAGAATCATTCTCAAGGGCTTTTGACCTGTCATTTTGCCCAAGGGACGGGGGTTCCCCGGGAAGGTATCATTTTGATAGCGTTATAAATTATCAGCGGTATCACAACATGATCACAACATGATCATCGGTATCACAACATGATCATCAGTTTCATAACATGATCATCGGTTTCATACCATTGTCATCAGTTCACAACATTGTCATCGCATGACAATGTGATTAAATTGGGGTGGTGGGTGGTGGGGGGATAGGGAAATGGGGCAGCGCCATAGCGTCATCATCGGTGTCATAACATGAACATCGGTTTCATAACATTGTCTTTGGTTTCATAACAGTGTCAGCGGCTTCATATAACATGATCATCGGCTTCATAACGTTGTCAGCGGCTTCACAACATGATCATCGGTTTCATAACACTGTCATCAGCTTCACAACATGTCATCGGATGACAATGTGATTCCATTGGGGTGGGGGATCGGGAAATGGGGCAGCACCTATATCATCAGCCTCATAGCGTCATCTTGGTATCATCACCGCATCACCGGTATCATAACATGACCATCGGTTTCACAACAAGGTCATTGGTTTCATAGCAAGAAGAATCATCGTTTCATAGCAAGAAGACACAAACCACGCGACTCATCTCGGACCTCGTTTTGGACACCCTCAGAATTCACTGTCTTTAAGAATGTTAACTGCACCAACTCGTTTTTCCATGGCAAAGCATATGGTGTCGAGCACATGGATATGCTTCTTTCGCGCATGCCCAAGAATGATAACAACAGAATTACAAACAGTTTGCATACATGCCTCACATAAAACTCATTATTGACAGCCTTTGTGCAAAGACTCGACATGCGCGAACATGTTTGAAGTTTGTTCGCTCATTTTGATGCCCAAGATAACCATTCAAATCCATTCAGACATTTGTGTGCAACCTTCTTACCGACGGCTCTGCGAACATACACTATCCAAGCTGAACACAACCAAATTGAACCCCTTGGCGAACCTCCCGTCCCTACTGTCATTTTACATCAGCTTAAAATCATTTCTTCGTAGGTTGTTTTAGCCTGTTTGCAAGAGCAATTTGCAGAAGAGGGTTTGTATATGTTTGTATTATGCTTAAGATTGCTTTGATTATATAGATTCAGACAAAACCATGATATGCCATAGAGGAAATGTCTGGCTGGAGCGGATGGCCGTGTTTAGGACAGTGACTTCGATGATGGCCTTGACGAGTTTGACGGAGGCTTGCAAGAATACGCGTCAAAATGATTAGAAACAACTGCAAATAGGATTGTTGCTTTGATTTCTGCTTCCCATTTTGTTGATCCTCACTGTTCTGAGCATTGGCAGGTGCAATGGGAAGTGGTGACAGAGCCTTAGTCAAAGATGATGCTGCAATGCGCTGAGAGAACCAACTTGATTTGATTGGTGCGTTACCTTGGTTGTTTTTCCCCAGATAGCGAAGCTATGGGGTTCTTACTTCAAATAACAATGAGTTGCCCGTGCGCGCTTTTGAGACAGGTTGCTGGTGCTGGGTGCCGGTTTTGGTGCTGGTGCTGTGCACGTGGTGGAGACAGGTTGCTGGTGCCGGTGCTGGGTGCCGGGTGCCGGTGCTGGTGCTGTGAGCTGGCTGTGCACGTGGTGGAGACAGGTTGCTGGTGCTGGTGCCGGGTGCTGGTGCTGGGTGCCGGGTGCCGGTGCTGGTGCTGGTGCTGTGAGCTGACTGTGCATGTGGTGGAGACAGGTTGCTGGTGCCGGGTGCCGGTGCTGGTGTATGGGCCTTGCCGTTTGCGTGCGTATGTTTATGCGCATAAACTCATACGCGCAAGATCATACGGCCTTTTCGTTCTGCAGATCGTTGCTTCAAGCGTGCTACAAAGTCAATAGTGGCGCTGGATACTGCTTGGCCTTGGGCCCATGACACTTATGGGCTTTGCAGTTTGCGCGCATACTTCTGTGCGCATAAGCTTATACGCGCAAGATCATACGTTGTTATTCCCCAAATAGGAATAGCTATGGGGTTCTTGCTGCAAATGTGCTGGTGCTGGTGTTGTGGTCCTGGGTGCTGGTGTTGTGAGCTGGCTGAACGCGCGGACGGGCGGCGCCGCTGGTCGGGTGCTGGCGCCGCTGCCGGTGTTGTCAGCTGGCAAAGCGCACCGGTGCTGGTGTCAGCTAATTGTGCGCGCTGTGGAGGTGCCGTAAGCTGGCTGTGCAGGCTGCGTACATTCTTGTTCCAGCCATTCGCATGTCAACACTCGTGGGATTCTGCCTAGCTATCTGGGGCTATGCTGGTGTAATTTGTTGTTTTGCTAAGGCCAAACCAAAGGATGAGGCAATGTTGGCGATCCGAAAACGAAAGTCGAAGAGTAGTAGAAGTCGCTCAACTTTGGTCATGTATCCGATGCAAAAACAGTCTATGTGGCAGGATGTTTTGTTCATGCTTCCCATCAGACCCATGGCAGGCTACAAAGCCGTTGACAGTTGGGTTGCATGGAATAGGATCCAATCTGTCCCAAAATGATTTCCAGGCTTCTTTTACACTTGTAGACGAATGACTCAATCGTATACTGTATGGTCTTCTGAATGGAGCCTTTCCATTTCAAACATGTGAGGCAGGTCTTCAAGACTTGTTTTATGGTATTTTTATAGCTCGCATTGGTCTGTTTGCACAATTTATTGGTCAATTGTCAACCACTGTCCCAGCTCAGCTCCAGCTCCAGTCTCCTCCGCCGATCTCGAACTCGGTTGCAACATGTCGATCTAGTCAAACTTTGTTCCATTTGGTTTTCCTTTTGGGTAGTAACTCATACAGTATATATATATATACTGTAAGTGTGCGGTGCTCTTTGGCATCGATGCTTGCTCCCGAGAATGGGAGTCAGGATTTTGATCAATTTCTTGCTGATCAGTACGGAGATGACGAGTCGCTATCTCAGATTCAATTTACCCAGTTGCACACCATGATATGCCATGTTCACACAAAAACAATCAACTTAAGATTCCACACCAACCCGCTGCAAGCATTTGACACAGCTCACTTTGCTAATCATATATAATTATAAATATATATAAATATATATATAGAAAAAAAAAACACGCAGTCATGATTTCGCTCCTTCACAAAAGTGGCATGGAGGATCAACAGGCTCTTAATTTCTGAACTTCAATGGGCCCACCCTCGCTCCTGCGCCCTTGGAGATGTCCACCTTTACAGCTTGCACACTTGTGACTTCATGAACAATAGAACATGTCACGTGACAGTCTGTGCTCTGCAACTCGGCCAGACATCACACTGACTCATCCTGCTCTTGGCCAGGATTGGTGCTCGAGACGAGGAGAGAATGGCATCAGCATGCATCCGCTGCTTAGCGAGTGTTCTCTGGCCATACTTGCAGGCTAGGGGCATGTTGTTCTTGGCAGGAAGACATTGAAGGGCATGTTGCGTTGGACGATGATGTTCTCGACGAGTGACCAACTTCAAGGCTGTGAGTATCGTGTTTGGAGTTCTTCTCGTCAAAATCTTCTCAGGTATCTGGAAGAGAAGCATGCTGAGCAGCAGGAGCTGCTTGCCTGAACTGCGCATCCCCTCGGTTGATATTGACATCAATTATGAGAGTTCGCAGCGACTCAACATGCTGATTGAAGTTCCGAGGTTGTACTCCTTGTATGAGCCTCAAAGAGGCTTCAAGGCCGCTAATAGTTCTGGAGGAGAGCACAGACATTAGAGCTTAAACACAACAGGATGATGAGCCTCGCGTCATTGCAGAGACAAGGGCGATCATTGAACGACACTATTTGGAGGACACCAAAAGCAATCGAAAGAATGCATATAATGTCCAGCCCTGGCCAAGCATGGTGAAACATATCCCAGGAGGAAAGCGAAGAAGAAACAGAATCCGGAGATGAAAGTGATGACGAGTTTCTTCCTGAGACTTCAGCTTTGGTTGACAGAGGTCCCTGCAAGGATCCCTGTGAGTCTGAGGTCCAAAACGTGGGATTGTGAGACTGTGCTCAGCACGCTTAGCAACCTTTCCAATAGACCAGGCCAAGATGCTTCAAGGCGTTTTTCAATAGCTTGTCTTGGCCATAATTGTGACGCCGTTCATTCGAGGCAAAATCGGGAAGGTAAAAACCATAAAGAAGCCTCAAGCTCCAACATTGAAGGCAGTGACAGAATCTGGAGGCGTGGCCGTCTCATGACATTTGTAGCACCGTGCAGAATCTTGCTCGTTGTCTAGGTGAAGATGACGAGCCGGAGGCAAGACGGAGCGATCTCGATTGGCACCCTCGAATCTCACAAAGAAAAGACAGAAGAACCCAGAAACTCGAGGCTTTTTCTTCTGGTACTGGTATGTTTTGATCAGAATTTGGCAACCAATCATTCGATGAAAGATGGGATGATGCACACCAAAAACATGCTGCAAGGAGAAGTGCTTGAGGCTTCAGTATTTGGATTTCGGGATTGACTCTTCACGAAAGCAAGCGGTACTTGTAGCTAGCTGAGTTAATTCTTACTGTAGCAGTCAGAGGGAGGTCTGAGGCCAACGCAGTGATTTTTCACTGCTGCCCCCTCTCCACCCGTCCAGTGGTGCAAAAGGATCACCTACGAGCTTAGACTTGCCCATCGATGGAAAACATAGGATAGAATGTTGGAACTTTGCGAACGTATGTAGTCTGGAGTAGTCTGGCCAAACAGGAGCTCCCATTGCCCAATGCCTCAGATGTAGTGTCTATATAAGCGGGTCAATCTTTCCAACCTCTGCTTTACTTTTCTGGAACGACCTCATTAAACATAATTAGGCACGCCGCATTTGCTTTCATCCACCCCTGGCCTCAAGTGTTTGAAAGCTGGGTGCGGGAAGTGAAACTGGTGAGGATGTGGTTGAGTTGCCAGATGCATGACACCTAGTGTTGTTGAGTGGTTGTTTTTCTTTGCTTCGCAGTGTTACCGCTGCAAGATCAGGTCGTGACTGAGCGGCCGAAAGATGAGACAGCCGAAGAAAAAAAAGCTCGAAAAGCGTCGGTAAAGGCGCCGTGAATTTGATGTTTTGGCAGCACCTGGTAACAGAGCATTTGACAAGGAAATGAGACGAATTTGCAGAAAAATGAAGAAAGAAAGACCTGTGCTCAGAAGCCTCAGAAATCGAGGGTTTCTGTATGTTTGTGTAGACGCTCTGACTGGAAAGGCAAAGAACCAATGCTCTTCATGGGCTATAAATGGCTGTAACATTTTGGTTGAAATGTTGAAGCTCCATGTTGGGCACGAGATGTGATATTGGAGTTTGTCCTGTGCAATAAGTCCTGCAAAATCACGGGGATCAAGAGGCTTTGGCTGAACACAACGAAAGCCAACTCTTTGAGCTCGAGTTCTCTCTCATTCACTTGGCTACGGGGTAATTCTATGTATTCAGGTCGCTTTGCGACAACGACTGGCCACCCGGGGATGGCTTTGACTACGTAACTTTTCATTTGGCTCCATTTTTGAGACCTACAATACATGAAACTGGTGAGGCCTTCGAACTTCAAACACTGTTGGTAGTGTTGGCTCATATTTCAACTGCAATCCCATCCAGAATACTGAACCAAACCCATTTTTGAGCCAATGCCCGAGCCATTTCGTGACTATATTTGGCTTCATGTATGCCTAAGAGACCTCACAAACGTGCAACATGCACGCAAGCATGCACGTTTGGCAGTGAATCAAATCCACTTTTGAGCCAAAATTTGAGCCTTCAATACAAGTTCTGAAAGGAAAATGGGACCCCCTGTTTCGTTGCGGCAGGTTTCCATTCACAACACGTTGATTGTCCTTCTCTTGTAGAATATATAATGTTGTTTGTTTTGCCATCTCATCTCGTCTCATGCTGAATCGCTTCATTTTTCTTTGTAGCGCCACACCTGGCCCTGTCACGTCAAGCTTGCTGGGAGACTGGGAGTATTCAGGGCCAGCCACTGCACAATTGACTTCCACTTTCCATCATTTTTACCTTATCTCTTCTACAGTATATTCTATTCGACGCGAGTTATGTTCTGTTGTTCATTCGCATGGAGCTCCTTTCATTCTAGCTTGCCGAGACTCAACCCAGCTTTCCTTCTTTTGCCTTTGATGTTCCTTGGCTTGCCTTGCCTCATGTGCTTGTACAATCTTGTACACACACCTGAATTCCAGTTGCCTTGTTGCCTCACTTTCCCAACAGCCCCCCACCCAATCTGTGTGCCGTACTCCTTGCTTCCACCCCTTGCCATGCCATGCGTTCGTGACCCCCGTACTTTTGGGAAGCTTTCTTGATCGGCTTGATATATAATGAAACCATTCATTAGAGAGGGAGGGAGGGCGGGAGGGAGGGAGGGAGGGAGCGAGGGAGAGAGAGAGAGAGAGGGAGATAGAGACAACTTAGAGCACATTCGGCAAGACAGATTTTTCTATGTACATTGCAAGGTTTGTTTTGGTTGTTCTATATTCGAGCCATCAAGGCATTTTCTGCTGAGGTAAGGAGATGTATAAGAAAGAAGCTGCAAAGCTGCCAGGCTAGAAGCTGCAAAACTGCTCATTTCGCAACAGGAACTATAGACACCTGTATATATATATACACAGTACTGGTATCACGAAAGCCAGCCGATAGGCAAGGCTTGAGGTTGATGGAGCGAACGAAGTGAGTTAAAGGGGGTGTGGCGGGGGGTGGTTGCGAGAGGAGCAATCTCGGAGAGGATGACCCAGAGCCTCGTGGGGGAGAGCGAAAATAGAGGGGGTGATGCAAGTGATGTAATTGACGGCGAAAAGTGCATCATCAGCATCATGAGGGGCTTAGGAGGCCAGGCCATGCAAACTGTTTTTACCACCATAACCATCTTTGCTTCGCTCACTGATTAGCGATGCGCAGCAGGCAAACTCAAATATAATGTATTTGAGGGGTCTCCTGAACCAGGACGAAAAAGGGCACCCTTTTCAACCCTACCTTCTGTTTCTACCTCCTATCGGGTGCCTGCAATGCCAACTTCACCCCATAAAAGTATTCTTTGCCCAATGTTACCCAATCACTTCATCTTGCGCGCTCAAGTAGCTCCAATATCAACTTCACCACTTCCGGCTACTCTTGGTCCACCTCTACCTATATACATATATGTATTCTCACCACAGCCTGCCCATAGCCTCGCCCATGGCCCCCCACAGCTGTCTTTGCTCACTGATTCGCAACACGCCGCAGGCAAGCGTCCCTCACTTCCTTAGGGATGCCCTTTTTCACCTCGAAAACGCTCCTGAACTGGGACGAAAAAGGGAACCCCCCCCAAAGCTATGTATTCTACTTTCTGTTTCTACCCCTTATCAGTGTGGCTGCGATGTCAACTTCACCCCATAAAAGTACCCTTGCCCGATGTTACCCAATCACTTCATCTTGCACGCTCAAGTTGCTCCAATATCAACTTCACCGCTTCCGGCTACTCTTGGTCCACTCTGCATATATGTATCCTCACATGGCCCCCCACAGCCGTCTTTGCTCACTGATTCGCAACACGCCGCAGGATCTTCCTTAGGGGCGCCCTTTTTCACCCCTGAACAGGGAAAGGGCACCCCCCCAAGCCTGTGTATTCGACTTCCTGTTTCTACGCCCTATCAAGGTGGCTGCGATGTCAACTTCACCCCATGAAAGTACTCTTTGCCCGATGTTACCCAATCACTTCATCTTGCGCGCCAAGTCTTTGGCCAGGCTTGCCCTGAGGGCGCCCCCTAACCCAGAGGCCCCCTCCCTTCTCAGGTATCATAACATATGATGCGTATACGCGCGTATACATATATCACAAAAGCCAGCCGAGGCTAGGGTGGAGTCTAGGGGAGCGAGCGAAGTTGGGGGTGGGGGGGGGGTCGCCAGGTTCGGAGAGGCTGACCCAGTGCCTGGTGGGGGAGAGTGAAAATGAGTGGTTTTTGGGGTGTTGCGATGCAAGTAATGTAATTGACGGCGAGTATGCATCATTAGCCTCATGAGGGGCTCACGGGCTCAGGAGGCAATGTAAACCATCTTGTACCAGGCGTGGGAGGTCTCTGGTGGCTATTGAACAAGTGTTCGACTAGGCGTGAGAGGGAGGTGTGTGTGTAACCCTTGGAGTCAGAGGGATCCTTTTGGATTTGTTTGCTTTGCCTTTCAACTGTTCTCAAAGCAGGGGGTGCAAGCAGCCCATCCAGTCTTGCACCAACGAAGACACTGGATGTGTGCTGGTGAAATCAATCCGGGACGCTGGATTGACGTACCTGCTTGGAGAGGAACCTACTTAATGGACAAGCTGTTCCACTTCGGTGTTTTGCAGTAAGCGTCTAATGCAGCGGTGAATTTCCTTGAGAGTTTGGACCTTTGGAGCTCCGCTGACTTGCGCGACCCGTCGTCACCCTGTCGTCGTCGCTCGCCTTCGTGTTCATAGGTTTGGAGGCCTCTAACCGACTACCTGGAACCTTAGGTGGTTTTACCTAGGCCGGCGTGTGGCACCGCTTTCAGTTCAGTACACCCTATCCTAAGTGTGTTTGGCTTCGTGCCAACCCGGGATGAGCCCGCAGAGTGCCTCCCGTGGACCCGTCGAACGGGTGTACGTCGAACGTATCCATTGCCCGGATACAGAGCAGCTCGCAGCGAGCGTAGGTGGCCTAGGCCGTACGTACGATGATCTTTGTCCCATCTTTGGAATTCCAAGTTGGCTCATGCCTTTACGTGACCGCAGCGGTCGAAGCAGCCAGCCATTTCGGCAAGGCACAAGGTGACCAACCATAGCGGTCAAAGCAAGTTTACGGTTCATTGGAACCAGTTGGAACCTTAGTTTCCCAGTTGCTCCGTTCCTTCTTCCCGCCATGTTTCCCTCTCCGGCTGGTCTTAACCCTGTGGACGGCATCACGATGAGGGCCCAGACTATTATCCTACATCGAGAAATTCTTCACCTACATGGCTTGCTAATCCTTGCGATTTCACTCCTTCGTACCCGCTTCGCTATCTTGTCCCCCTCCTTCATGGACTTCGTTACCTCCCCACATCTTCAGGCGCAAATTCGAGGACTTGACTATGCGATTCGACAGGCGACCCAGGCCATTCATACCGGTGTGCACTATATTCAGGAACTCCTCACCACCTTTGGAATGATGCATGCCTTGAGCTGCGACACTGCTCAACTGGATGCTGAACTACGTGGACGCTCGACTTTTCCTGACCCTCGCCTTCCCTCTTTTCATCCTCCTCCCTTGGACTCACCTTCGACTAGACGTACGACATCTACCAGTTCTACTCCGGCTGCACCATCGATTCCGCCACCGAGGACTCCTACAACTCGCTCTCCACGCCGACCTGTGGTTACCACCTCGAACCGGACTTTCTCCACTACAGAGCTATACGGACCAGTACTGCTCGTTCACGCTCTCGGTCTCACCCTCGTTTGAACCCTACAAATCTCTAGATGGCTCTTTCGCTCAATGTTCCAATCACGAGAGAAAATGTCCACTCTTTTCCCTTTCAATTCCTTTCACGCTTCCAACTTGATCCTTTGAATTGTGACACTTTCTTTTAACTTTACACTCTTGATTCTTTTTACTTTACACTCTTGATTCTTTTGGCTCTCAGCCTTCCCACGTCCTACACCTCCCTTCGAGCTCGCACTTTTCGTTCCCTCTCGCCGCCATGTCTACATCGTCTACGACGACTTCGACTCGCCCTACGGGATTGGCACCAATTGCCGGCCTACCTCTTGCTGCTCACAAGGTACTTCATCGTGAACTTCTTCATATACATTCTTCGCTACACTTGATCCTCTTGATCCTCCGCGGACCTTGGGATACTGTCACTCCATCCCTGGTGGACACGATTACCTGTCCTCGCCTTCGTACTACTCTCCGGGCCCTTGAGACCAGCATTGAACAGATTCGACGATCTACTTGCACTACATTGGTCTACACCGATGAACTATGCTCCGCTTTGGCACTTCCACATCCCACTGGTCGCTTTGGCTCCTCTTCCAACAGCACCTCACCCCGTTTTATCATCTCTTCTCCTTCTCCACCCTTGACGACTACGACAACGACTACCAGCGACCCACCTCTTCCTCCGGTCACTTCTACTCCTCTCCATTCTTCGGCCCCTACGGTACTTTGGTCTTGACGAGAATGCCACGTTCCCGCTCACCTTCCCGCTCACGTTCTCCTCCGAGACGTTCTCCTCCGAGACGATTTCGACTTTAGCTGTTCTCACTTGCCCGATTAAAATTGGGGTCTCGGCCGATCAGTAAGAAAAGAACAGAACCGGTTCTTAGGATGCTAGCCATTTCCAGATCTCTTTGATTTTGACCTTCCTTCTTTGGACATACATCTTCCATTATCCTTTCCTTCCGCTTTTCTGTCCTTAAATTTGGGCTCCCCAGCGATCGCCTATCTCGCCCCATTGTCTCTCGCCTACGTTTCGGCCATGGCTTCGACATCTACACCACCCTGTGGTCTTGCAACGATCCCAGGCCTTCCACCTCGTGCTCAGGCCATGCTACATCGGGAACTTCTTCTTGTACATGTTCTCTTGGCCCAGATCCATTCACTATTATTGCAGGTCCCACTCTGCATTCATACTCTTCCATTTATGTATCGGGTGACACACCCACAACTTCGAGCTCATCTTGAAGGATTGGATAACACGCTCCTTCTCGCTCTTCGTCTCAACCACACCGCCGTCCATTACACCCATGAGCTCCTGACAGCGCTGGGCCTTTTGCATATCCTCCAACAAAGCCCAGAACAACTTGAAGATGAACTTGCAGGTCGCACCGACTTTGGTGATCGTGCATCCCTCTCCACACTTCCTACTTCGACCTCCTTGAGGACTACCAGGACACACAACACCGTGGACCTGATGCCTCCGTCCTCTGATCCTCCATCCTCTCGTCATGGATCTCGACATCGTCTTCACATACGCTCACGATCTCGTTCTCGACCGCGTTCAACCAGATCCTAGCTTCCATGTCTCACCTCACACTGTCCCCCACGCTGCAAAAAGACACTGCCTGCTTCCTTTTTCCTGACGACACACTTTCTTCAGTTGATTTTTTCAGTTGACTTGTATCTTTCTCACCTTTTGGCTTCTCACCTTTTGGCTTCAGACCTTATGACTTTGCAACATGCATTTCCACATGATCAATAAGTTAAATTCGTGGTAAGTAGCTGTCAAATTAGATGAATCAGCTGTCAAGGGTCCTGGGTGCTCAGCTACCATGAAGGGTTGAAAGTGGCCTCTGGCTGCAGTTTATAAAACTAAGTGGCGAAGAATGACAGGCTCAACTCTGTCACACAGTTTATCATCCAATGGGTTTG